AAAATACCAATAATGACATTAGCTACATTACGTCGCACAATGTCAATTGTTTCATCTATGCAAACCCATATTTTTTGGCCATTCACAGCATCGCGTATTTTAGTTATCGTATTAGTGTAGCAAGAATCGAAGTATCCTTTTCGTAAAGTTGATTCATTTGGAATAGTTTTATTGCAATATTTTGAAAGAAATGACCGAAAATGTTCGTTGTTTAATTTGTTTAGGGGGATATTCGCCGCTACAAATGCGGAACATAGGTCAGCATTAAAATCAGACTTACAAAATTGTTGAATGAATGGCTGAACTGCATTATGTTTTTCAGCTTCAAGTTTTTTCAATGCTTCTTTGTGTTTTTCTCTGCCAATATGTTGTTGAACGTTATATTTTTTATCCAAATTTATTTTGACTTCACACAATTTACAAAATATAATATTTCCGTCAGTCATAAGCACATTTTCACCGAATTCTCTTACGATTTTTTTTAATTTTAAATTTAAATTTTTAACTTTCGGCATTTTGACGATTAAAGAAATTATTTAGAACACTATACGTTTATACCTCACTGATTGTCGATTGATATTTACCGGCCAACTAAAGTATTAGCACGTGCTATAAAAATACGTAGGTATAATTCAGATAATTTTCCCTTTCCTTGAGTCGTAAATACAACTATTATAGATAATTGTAGATAAAACTATTTCGGCACAATAACGACAGTTATTTTATCAGTCATATATTTATTACTGGTTTTTTCACTGGTTTTATAATTTATGGTAATACTAATATAGTCCAAGACGTTTAATATACATAGAAATAAGCTAAGTTTTCAAGAAAAATATATAAAAATCAAGAAAAAATAACCAAATAGGGGAAAAGCAATAAAAAGCAGATTTCATGGAAAAAAGCAAAAAAAAGCAAAAAAAAGTTTACTTCTTTAAAATCAGAACGATTCAAAACGTATTTATATAAAAGAATTATCTTTCTATCACACTTCCCTCAAAAGAAGCATTTGCTACAAAATCTGAGCCTTACTGATAATATACTGCTGCGAATTAGAATTTTTATTCCGGACAACGAAAAAGTTAAGATAAATTTTGAACACCATACAACGAATATTAAATAACGAATTGAATAAACTTTGAGTCGTATAGAGTTGGTACATTTAACGAGCAACGAAGTGTTCGGGATAAGCTAGTATTATATAATAATAATAAACAGATATAACAACAAGAACAGAGAGAAAAAAAAATATAAGAACAGCATTATTTGTAATTATGAATACATGAACATTGCTGATACTTTATATAGTATAATATATTGTCATATGTCATATGTCATATGATATGATTTCACGCTTATTAAGTACATCATCTAATGTAGAACATTTTTTTCTATATAAAACATATAGCAAACGTTTTGTACAAGACTTACCGGTAGAACATTAAGTTATATATAATTATCTTTTGTGGATCTGGATTTATTTTTTTTTGTTAAGGCAGATACGAATTGCTTTATTTTGTTGAATATTTAGTGGATTAAGTTTAATATTATTTGTTGTACTACCCCATACAATTATTCCATTCTGGCATATAGATTGGTATAATAGTAACATACCTATATACAATTCTCATACTGTGTTTAGAAATTATTTTATATTTTAATCTATATAATTTAATCGTTATTGCCTTTAGTCGCATTGCAATGTGTATTGTTTAATATTACCTAAACTAACCGTCTCGTCTTTTCGCACGTCGAAAATTGGGAAAAAAACAATTACTTCATAGCTAGGTACGGGATAAACCGTCAACGGCAGAATATTTGAGCTCAGTCTTATGGACGTCCACGTGGTAACTGCAGGTACTTGGTTACATTGTGGTATTATCCAAACGCGGTTATTGATGATGCGTTTTCGAGTGTATTCTGTTACTCGCGAACGGTTTCTCTCCGCCTCGAAACGTTTCGCGTGTGTACGGAAATAGTTTTGACCGTTTAGACAATAGCTGTAATTAGTTATCGCGTGTTGACGCGCATACCCAAAACTGTATACCTACGCGACAACGGAGAAATGTTTTAGTTATATTTTATGTGGTTCCTACCACAGCTATACCTACGCAACTCAACGCAATAGCATAACGTTATGTGTTAAGTATTGAAACGGCCAACGATAATAAACTGAATGGGTACCAACTTGCAAAATCCAGAAAACCTGAAACATGTCGTAGTATATGAAGCTGAGAAAACCGAATTCAAAACAGCCACTGAAATAATATTGTAACGACCGTTTATGTCAGTGAGCCGGCTGTGTTGACCGAAAATTGTATGCGTACGATGTCCGTATTCAATGTCGGCCTTTTTATTTTCAGAGACCATGGCGGTGTTCACATATCATTAAATATTACGTTTAAAATGTAAGGACATTTTAAAATCGAGACAATAAATTTTAAAAAGATTAATGTTGGCAATAAGAATAGGTAATATAAGAATAAAAAACCGTTTCCTCACTATACAAATAATACTAAATACATTATTATGTAAACATGTGGGTACCGTTTCCTTGTACTTTTTTGTCTTGAATTTTTCTACGAACTTAAAAAAAAAGGTTAGATAGCTTTTAGAATAATTGTATTCATTTTTTGTATCATACAATTCTACCTTAGGAATGCGATTGATATCAGCGGCTTAATGAATTAAATTTTATATTTAATCAAATGTGTTTCATGTTTGATTTGTTTTCAACAATTTATTTGGTTTCACTTTGGAAATCAAAATATTTTTATTCGATTTATAACTGTTTTATTATAATTATAATTTTCTTTTAAATTAATAACACCTCTGCAGGTAGTTTATCAATAAAAATTGTTTATTTAAACACAAACCTTTTAACAATAGTTAGCAAAACATTGTATATTTGTATGTATATTTATCAGGTTTATATTATATCATACGCAGCCTCTCTTGATCGCCCGTGTCGCACTCTTAATAATTTATCAAATATCGATATTTGTCATGACTCTTTGCCATATATAATTCAAAAATTGTATTAGTTAATTTATCTTATTAATTTTATCTATATTAATTTATCTTAGCTTATTCTTGTTAGTTTTGTAAGTCTTTTTAATTTTTAAGTTGTATTTTAATGCATTAATTATGTTTAATTATATTTTAAAATTGAATCATTAATAAAATAAAATAAAAATACTAATTAATTATTATTAAATATTTCTGAATCATTATTGAAAATATTATTTTAATGTACGCAGTAACATCATATTTTTTAAGATAATAATCGTTATCAATTGTATCTGTATTATAGCAAAAATATATTAGTTGTGTCATGGGTTACTTTATTTTGTGGCTTCATATATATGCTTATAAACTTTCGAAATTTGAGTGCGAGAATAATAGAAATAAAAATAATCTTAAATTGTACTGGTAGAAACGAATGAGTTTAAAGAGCTTTATCCTAAATTAAGTTTAAAAAAAGCCACCTGGTTAATATTAAAGGATTCTTAGAAACCATCGTATTAAACTCTCAACGTTGTTTTACATAATATTATGCAATATTGCAATACCAAGTTCTTTTTATTTCGCAAGTGTTTTTTATTTTTTTTAACAAAAGATTGTTTAAATTTTTTTGTGAACAAAAATATATTTAATTTTGTTTAACCCCATTCCTATGTTGTATATATACCGACACATTGCAGTCCAAGCCATCAATAGTGCGATTTTAGAGCAATTTTTGAAAATGTATAAAATAAAGTGTCCATTGATAAAAATCCTTTAAAACCACGTATCCAATTATCTTCAAGAACACATTATCCAACTTCCTTTTTTTTATAAATCTGGAAGAATCAAAGATAACGAATTATAATCCAAACTAACAACTTTATCTACCCCTTCATCCTCTCCTACCGCCAATCATATTGTACGTTATTTATATATCATCTGTAGGTATGTTTAAGTACTAATTTAGATCTGTAAGATTAATTTCTTACAATATACTCCTTTTTAAACAAGATTGAAGATAGAGTTAGTTTCCGAAGAAAGATATTATATACTAAGCACAGAAAAAAAAATCTAAATGAATTATGTGACATAAAGTATCTACATCTAAAATTAATCATTTCATACAAATCGCATTACTCTTACCTAACCTACCTAACTATAACCATTTATATCACAATATTCCTAAAAGAGAAAACATTTTTAGTTGTTTGTCAAAAAATATAATTTGAATCTGTTATGCGGTTATTTTATTTTATTTTATTCGTCATAGAACTAATCTGAATATTAATTTGACTATTACTAGTTCTATAAAAGTTAAATTTAAAAATACAAAATGTAAACATTTGTCTTAACTCTCATTGTAATGTTTTTGAATGCTTACAGTACAAATAAGATAAAAGTTGCAAATTAAATATAATTTTCGTGCGATGATTATTTTGTTGTTCTTAATGTGGTCTTATACTATTTTCAGGTGTTTGTTCAACTACTCAAAGTGGAATTCACCCCCAAAAAAATAACTACGTAACAATCGATCAAACACCGTAAGTATATAGGTATATTATATTATACATATCAAGGCTATTATTCAAAATATAATGCACACTATACATTAGGAAGTAACAGCCGATAATGAATTTAATTTATGATGTTACTAATAATAACAAAAACACAGTTTGCTATAATATATTATAACTATTATTTGTAAATTCTAAAAGTAGGTACGTATGTAATAACACAGTATTTTAAAAAAGCAGTCGGCCATACCATCGACACGGTTGGCAATTTATTAGGTATTTTAAATTTAATATATAGTTTTGTGAAATCATTTTGGGATTTACATTTTTTTATTCGCAATGTACAACATATCAATATGTAAGCTACGTCCTAAAGTTTTCCATGACTCCAAACCGATTTTCTATCCAATATTACTAGTACCGATATATACATCCATTTATATTGTTCCTCGTAATAAACTTTAATATTATGCATTATTATCATGACCAAATAACGAAATAATATAGTAATGCTATCTGATGTTCCATATTTTTCTGGTAAAGTTTAAATTGAATTGTAATTTGTTTACACAGGTTCTCGGTGTCTGGTTTTTCTTTTAAAGCGGCCGAGATTTTCGTCTCGCGGGAATCGCTCCGTGCAAAAGGCACCTTTGGGGTCACCGAGGCGTGTCCCTTGTTTTCTCTTCTTTTTAAGTTTGAAAAGCGATTAACCATCGTCACGTTCTTGAAACGACTAGAAACGTCAGAACACATCTAGGATTAAATAATAATATTCCGACATTACATGTTGTTTTGTTTTTATTTTTATATAAATGTACGGGAAAAACGTGTAATTCATTGATAGTAGTCCTGAAAAAGGTATTGCGTATAGGTATCGGCCGCGACGTCTATGTATAAATGTACGATCACTATCCCACATGAATAATTTAAGCATGTTAACCATATACTTATTTCTGATCCACTTCAAATTTAAAAATAAAATCGTTTTTATTTAAATTTCAACGGCGAACTAATAAATATTTTAAACAATTTTCTTCGGTGATAAAATGTATTTATTAAAAAAAAAAATCGATTTTAGGCTTTGTCTAATATTGTTGAAAGTTTTTTTTTTTGCTACAACTTTATATGGCATTACTCAGCACGTTATTCTTAACTTTGCCTATATTTACAAAATGTAGTATCTATAAACTTCTTTTGTTGTTTTTCACATTAAAAAAATATATTACAGAAGAATAAAAACGAAAAAAAAACTTAAGTAAAATATTTTCATCCATACTTATCAAAGTTATCCCAAAGCCGTCGTAATGCATTTTTAAAATCAGTAGAAGCCCCTTGTAGTAGTCTACGAATTTAATGGACACATTTCCATCATTTCGTAATCAACATGAAGTTCACACCACAGGCATGAGGTATGGATGGATATTGTATAACTTTAGAATGAAATTCAATTAGAAATTTATTCACACCAGGAATACATTTTTTATCAAAATATGCACTTATCATAATTTATAGCTCTGCTGTATAGAAGGTTTAGAGGGTATCTCGTCATTAACTAGGTCATTTAATAGTCCTGTTAAATTGTATTCAATGATAAATTATTGCATTCGAAAAACGATTCTCACAGAGACGTTCATTCATTATTTTGAAGGATATTTCATTAAATATTTATATGAATTTGGTTACCTATTAGTTTTTTTTCAACATAATTTTTACTACGCCATGTGTCAAAAGCTGCTTAATTGATAAAATAAATAATTAAATTAACCCAACAGAGTGACGAGGCCTCCCAATGGAGTTACTTCGTCATGAGATATTTATAAATAATAATGATCTACATATTATTTATTTTAGCTAAGCGCTTAGAAGGGATTTTTATTATTTCGACCTCCCAAAGTACCAACTTTGAAGTTTGCAAACATTTTATACTTCAAAAAGTGATGATGATATAAAAATAAATACTTTTAGGTACATATTATTGTAAAACCATTACATTCCTCCTCTCCGAATCTAATAACTACCTTGAACATCTTATTGGCTATAAAAAATATCTATCCAGTGCAACTACCCCTTTTGCACCCTCTTAACAAGCTCTGGTTATAACGATGGCTATTTCCAATATTTTTATATTTTTTAATATAAATACGAGGATTTTGGTAAATTATTGTAATGATTATATTTCAATATAATATTAATAAATGGGTTTAGTTGATCTATATAGAACTATAAGTATGAACTCTATTACGGTTGTTACTACCGTCAAATTAGTGTGACAGTGATATTAACGCGCTGGGAATTTATAATAAGCAAGTATAACCAGCGAGTTAAATTGTCAAATAGTATTAAAACTTTAATTTTTCTCTTCTCTCGTTTGTTTGTGGTGCTCTGCTTGCATTTTGAATTAGAAATTAGCTGTAGCATTGAGAGTTTTAATTTTACATTTCTCCATTTTTCCATTGAAATGATGAGAATTTTTGATTTTTGATTCGAACAACCGATTAAAGATAAAAAATTCTCATTATTTCATTTGTAATGTGTGTGTTATTACATAGTGTTATCTCCGTTTAAAATGATTTTCTTAAAGTATTATTTATGTTTTTGCAAGAATTAAATGTATTGTTCTTTACATCAAGAAACTTTGGAACATGTAAATTAGTTCTTCAGTTAAAAAGTCAATTAAAACTAATCCTAGTTAGTTTAATAACTTTGATATGTTTGAATGCTTGTAGGGATTCGGATTCAAATATTTACGTAGAAGATAACACTTGAGCTTTTTTTTTTTTTTTTGATATTAGTATTTAGGTAGAAGATACATTAAAGAAAATAATTTACTATGATAATTAGATGATAATGTAAATCTATAATTTATAATTACATACTCGTAAAGTCGTAAGTTGATCGGCTACGGAAACTTACTCAATAATAATACGCGTTTCGTGGACGTAACCTATTTTACAATCTCGCTTTGTCTTAAAAAAAAATAATCGTAATTCTAAAGGAATAATACTTAAGATTAATATTATTCAAAATCGTGCAACGAATAGAATGCTTTCTTAAACAGACGCGTTAATTTTTTTTCTCTCTCTTTGTGTGAAAACTCGTCTTGTGATCCTGCAGCTATTATTGTGTGTTCGAAGCTTTGGCATAGGAAAAAAAATGATAAAATAACACATAAAGCGGAAAAAGAGCAACGTTATATGTCTGAGACGCCGCCAACGAAGTCTCATCGTCGTTCTTCACTTTCAAGGAGACACTATTACCGTGGTATTATCGTGTCTCGTTTGCGTCATATTTAAATCTCAACCTTTCGCGTACCACTATGCACCCTACGGCACACGTTTACAAGCATTCATTCATAGTATACAAGTCGTCTCGCTGCGATGAGAGAAAAATCTCCGACTTGCCGACAACCTCACGATTTGTTTGCTCATAAATATGTATATATTTTCTTTTTCAAGTCCGCCGCGGCAGCGGCCCCGCATGTCGAGCAGACGATGACGAGCAGCCGGAAGGTACATCATACTACGATAATTTCCGTTCTATATAATAACAGTACGTATATACTTAAATGTTATTCATACGCTTGACGGTTGGTATACCCTTCGAGGGTGGATTGATAGTGTACACTGTGTTACGGGGGAGTGGGGACTGAATCGTACAAATACCGGTATGGAAACATCACTGCAGGTACATTTATAATAAGGGCCTGATTTTCATATTTTTCCAACAGATATTTAGAGATAACTAATTTAGTTTTTATCGAACTTGTAATCTAAAACAGAAGTTCTTCTAGGAACCGGAACCGAAAAAGTGCCAAGGTCCCTTTGTAATCGGCCGAGCTTCGAGCTGCTACGTGACGATCGTTGGCCCGGTGCGATCGAGAAAGGTACATATACCGTACAGTATTATATCTGTGGCGTATGAACTGGGTGGTTGATGGGTAGGGACAGGTTGAAGGGGTAGACGCGAGGTCCTTTTGGTGTGATGAATGGCTCGTTAAAATAATAATGTGAGTGACGTCTCGTCGAGGGCCGAGGGAGAGTCGTTGTGCTGCCACCGCCGGTCGAGCACACACAACGCATTAATCACGTGGCAACGATTATTGTTTTACTACGGTGGCGGCAGCGCGACGGGTCGTTTTCGGTTCAAATTGGGTAGTTTTGAAGTTATGCAAACGGTTCTTGTTTAATAAGTAGGTAATAATGCACACCGCCAAAGGTCGTATGACGTGTATAATTGCGGCCGCGGCAATTGATCACACCGGTACAACTACAGTAGGTAGGTAGGTAGTTTGCCCATGAGCATTCTTCTCGATCGCCGCTATTATTATAACGTGCTACGACACTGTCCGCGTAGATAATAATATTAATATGGTATAACATTATATACGTACTATTATATGGGGCTATACGACACCACTGGACAAAGTTTAGACGGTTTTCTATCAGTAAACGCTCGAATAACTAGCGCGTCAACCGAGCTAGAACAAAATATACGTTTCGTAGAATATAGTTTGGAGTTGTATTATGGGACTATAAAGCAGGAGCCATATTTGCATATACATATAATAATAATTTGACGATGAATGATATAGTACAATATTATGTACCTATATAATATGTACTCTGATCGACCAGGCGTAAATCTTTAACGTGTGCGCCTTCGATGGATATTGATTGAACTCGCACCTACGTCGTATGTTGACAAATTTCCATGTCGGATCGACCAAAGTTCGGCTCGGTCTGAATTCAAAACTACGACACGTAAGTCACGCCCGCCGTAATCTCGATAACAACGCGTTGACGTATTATATATACCTCACTATATTTATGTGACCGTATATGTCGGTAGGTATATATAATAATAAATATCCTCGCGGAAATCGAAGCTCTAGTGAAGTCAGTAACCGTTTTGAGAAATGTAGGTTTTCCTCGACGACGGCTTATATGGATTGCTGGTCGCAGTAATTGATGAGTCTCCGTAAAGTCGGCGGCGGTGTGCGATTTAATTTTTTGTTTTGGCAACTCTCTGTCCTTTTATGACACGACATATTATTCGCGTAAAAGACCGACAATTGATCGTAGCGGATTTTTGGCTAACGTCCACGCGATATTCAATAGTGCCAATTTATTTGCAGGTTGAGTTAATCAAACTTTAAGAGTAATTTTTCGACCCAACAATCATTTGGATAAAAGCAGAAATGGATCGATATCTAATTTTATAACACGAAACTATTGGTTTAACTACAGGTATAGGTATTCAATAGAATAGTGATTGTGAAAAACCACACTGCGTTCTAACGTTTTCTCCGGTTACAAATCTCTGTTGGAGCAAAACTTCCAAAACCGTAGTGAAAAGTTAATGACCAGAATAAACGGAAATATGTATTGCTGATACTTCGTGTCGACGTACATCTGCCATTTAAACTATCTCTAAAATATGTCAAGTAAAAGTTTTTAAATGTGCGTTGGAGGTTAATTCAGCCAAATAAAATTTACCTAACCTAACAGTTGATGTCCCGAATACTTGATTAGAATTCAGCGCAGTGGTACAATTTATGGTAGATATATATACGTTATGATTTATGAAGAGTGGTATAATATGGTCAGTGTAAGAAATGTATTGCTACAAAGTGCTTGAACTTTCCTTCTCCCAAAGTGCATTAAATTATTACTAACTATGGTTTATTGTTTTAAGGAAAAATAAATTCGATTTCAGTACATTAATTTTGTATATGTAGGTTATTTTGTCGAAAA